TTTTTTTTTTAAGAATTCAAAACAAGAGTATTTTCCCATAGGGAAGGATTCTTACAATTCATTTCAAAATCTTATTTCAAACCCATCTGGACCCTTAACCTATTTGCAACTTTCCAAAATCCACATTCTAATTAGTCCTTTGCTTTTATTGTGTTGTTTTTTTAATTAAATCTTTAAACTTGTATTTAAAACTTCTTTCACTAAGGAATGAAGGAAACACCCTCCTTCACTCTGAAAGATGTTAGTAGCTCTTCTTTAGCTGTAAATTAGTTACATCCAAAATGATTAGGAAATAAGGTTTAACTAATGTTATGTCCATCAAGGCTACATTACGGGGAATCAACTTGATGGGGGGGGGGGAAATCCCTCAACTACTCAGCTCACAAGCCAATTGCAGAACCCTTCTCACAATCTACCGGAGTCAGGGCTCCAGTAGTGACTCCCATTTAAATCATGAGTCTCTAGCCTGAATTTCAAAGCTCAAAGAAGGTATATTAGAAGAAGACATGCCGGTGCTGCCTAGGTGTAGCTGATTCTGAGGCACATCATTCATTGTCACCCTTGGCCCTGGTTTTCCCCCACCCCCTGGGTGTATCGTAATTCACATTCTCCAATGGGACACATCCATAGCCCAGAGTCATCAATCATACTCTCCAGTTAGAATTTTGCACAGCAGAAACTTCGGTTGCCTGGAAACTATCTATAAAAACATTTATGGAATGCAGTTTTGGTTTTGCAAGCTGCTGCACTGCTCCCCCGTCCCTTTCTGTTGGCAACTCTAAAAAGACCATCGAAATATTTTATGAGTTGACACTACTCACATCCACCAACATCCAGTCTCAGTTTTGCCACCCCAGAAAGCAAAAGCAGAACCAGTGGACCGTGTATTTCACACTAAACAAATCCTCATTTTGCATTTTTGTGATGACCTCCTAAAATTTCTTTTTTCTCTCTCCAACTTGGTCATCTTGAGACTCCTTCCATCTCCTCCGTCCTGTGTGTTGATGGCATCATTCTGGTTTCAGTTGAAAACCTTGGAAGCAAAGGAGAAAGGTTCTAAGAGGAAACTAGATGTGCCGAAGGGACCTCATATGGATGAGCCTGGTTGTCATTGTGACAACAACTAAAACATGGACATTCTCTGTCTTTTAAGTGTATCTGGTCACAGGCATGCACACTTCATTTATAGAAGATGGCTTTGATGCCATCACATTCTTGAGAAGGTCCAGTCGGTAGCATATGAAAGTCCCATCTTATGCAGTTGATAATTTCTTGAAAGCTCAGCTCTGCCACATGCTTGGTATGTCCTCCTTCAAGTGACTCACCAGCCAGCAGAAGACACATCATCTTATATTGTCCCAGAAGTCAACTGAGGAACTACGTGTGGTAGTCCACCAGAGTTTTAGCTAGTGGGACAAATCTTGAGTTTAGTTTCAGATAGCTTGGGAGGAGTATCCTTTTCATTATTGCATAATTCTACTTTGAAGTTCTGCCCATGATTACATCCTGCATGATTGTTGTTCAGTTGCTAAGTCATATCTTCATGACCCCCAGACCATAGTATGCCTGGCCCGCTTCACTGTCTCCCTGAATCTGCCTAAATTCATGTGCATATCTTGCACTGTGGTACCAAAATAGGTTAGAAGTGATATTTGGTACCCAAATACCCACAACTGAGGCTCCTTTGCTGAGTTACACTGGCAGACTTCGTTTTTGCAGGTTAGCTAATGGTGTAGACTGGCTTGTTTTTTAACAACCCACATGAGCTGAAGAAGCCTCTTGGATGGGAAGTGAAACATCTTCAAAGAAAAAGCAGAAAGTCCAGCTGCCTCTTGAAAAAGCACTTTTGGGACAAGAATGACTGAGAATCTCCAGAGACAACCCACACAAGAGTAGACTTCATTTTCACATGACCATCAACATTTTATTTTTTTATTTATTTCATTTGTCAATCACTTACAAGATAATAGGTATAAGTATAAACATAGTTAGGAACACATGAAATGGATACATATGAAATAAAAAGAAACAATAGGACATGGTAGGCACGTTGGTGCACTTATGCACACCCCCTACAGACCTCTTAGGAAAGGGGTGAGGTCAATAGTAGACAGTCTAAGGTTAAAGTTTTTGGGGTTTGGGGAAGAAACCACAGAGTCAGGTAGAGGATTCCAGACATTGACCACCCTGTGGCTGAAGTCGTATTTCCTGCAATCAAGTTTGGTGTGGTTAACCTTGAGTTTGTATCTATTGTTTGCTCTTGTGTTGTTATGGTTGAAGCTGAAGTATTCATTGACAGGTAGGACATTGCAATGTATGATTTTATATACTATTCTTAGATCGGACCGAAGGCGGCGTAGTTCTAGGTTGTCTAGGTCTAGAATTTCAAGTCTGATGGCATAAGATATTCTGCACAATTGCTATTAACAATAACTCTCATCACTGTGCATGGGATACCATAAATCATTATGCATAAGAACCTGGCAAGCAACTGACGCAACTGATCCTAATGGGGGAGTTGATGGATCGTGGCTTCTTCCTTGATTCCTCCCTGAGCTGTCATCCAATCGTCTTCCTTTTATGGACCCATTGGAAGTCTGTCACTTATCTTCTGAGAGGGAAAATGCCTTGTCATCTACATCACTGATCCAGTTGTGACTGCTAATTGCAGGAATCTCCATCCATTGAACCATAGTTAAGTGATGGATCAGGTGTCCAGCTTGTCGTCTCTCAGGTCCATGGCTTTGGACTTGCCTACCATTCCCAAGATGTTGTATCATCTATATATGAGTGCTGAAACCATATATAAAGAACTTCTCTTTCTAAGGTGCTTCATTCATTGACATTTGCTTAGCTCACTGGTCTCCTTCACAGATAAGGTAAGTTTGTCTCTACATCATATATCTGTTTATGAAAGAAGATTGTCTAGAGGGTTAGATGTTCTCTAGATAATTTGGGAGCAACTAATATGATTCTTTATAATTATCCATGCCCAGTGGAATCTGTGGAGAACTGCAGTCCAAAATATTTGGAGGGCACCAAGTTGTCTTCTTATAGTTGGTAGTCAGCCACAAACAGGTTCAAGGAAAAAGACCATGGAACAAGAAAAGAAGGTTATGACAGATGAAAAAACCATTTTGTATTCTCTTGCTTTGGAGAATAGGAAGACCCAACCCACTGAGTTCAGCTATAGAAAAAAGATAATATAATTTATAAGAAAGACCATTCCTGGACAGGTTGAAAGTCAAAGATGGAACAACAAGCAAGCTAGGTGTGTGCACCAAATACTGCCTACAGTATTTCAAAATGGTTTAACACTTATATGTTTTATTAAAATTCAGCTGAAAGTTTGTGTGAATGCATGAGTAAAAAGTGTGTACACACACATGCACGCCCGATGGTAATGGCTCACCAAATAGTTCTCCAAATATTTCAGTATTATTCTGGAATATTGGAATGTTTAATCAATATCTGGACCAGGGGACTTATATCAATTATTTTCCCCTCAGTCAGCTGGACCCACCTAACCTATTACAACTTAAATTTGTTCTTTAGTAATTTTCCATTTGAAAATCTCATTCACAAGTTTCAGGTCAAGCATCGTTGAGCAGCAATCCATCCTATTTTGAGAGGTCATCTTGATTTCGGTGTACTTTGGTCATACACTTTCAGTTCCACCCACCATGCCAGAAGAAAGAATCTATTCTTCTGGACGAGAAGCCTACTTCAACCTGAACTCAACATGGTACGACCCAGCAGGATCCTGGTTAGATACTCGTCGAAAACCTTTCCGCTACGTCGATAACACCGCCTGTGTGACGTGTTGCAACCCTAGGAGCAACGTACCCCGAAGAGGTGGCCATAATTACAGGTGCTACTGCTACCGCCCATGCACTTGTACACCTGGAGGAAACCCAAGAGTTAGATGTTGTGTTCACAACCCTTCAGGAGGACCCCGAGATTATTGGGGACGCCCAATCGGCGATGCCTGCGATGGGTGTACTGGGGGACATTATTCTCATGCGGGGTCAGATTGTGAGTCATGTTGTGGATCTTTGGGAGGGTGTGGAACTGGAGGAGGGACCGTGGCTTGTGCTCAACCATGTGCTACATCCGGAGGAGTGTGTGCTGAACCAGGTTGCAGACCTTCCGGGAGAGGTGTATGCGCAGAACCTTGCATAACATCTTCTGGAGGATGCGGAACGGGAGTATGTGCTGAACCAGCATGTACACCTTCAGGATATGGTAGGAGGAGGAGAGGGGTGTGCTTTGAGCCATGCTCAGGAACATCAAATGGATGTTGAATGACAGAATTGAAGAAGGGACCACAATCCAACTCTCTATTCAGAGCAGGAGCTATAACAACCTATTTGATGGACCACTCCCTGTTTGAAGACCTCCAATGAGGAGCATCTCACCACTTCATGTGGCAATCTGTTGTACTGGTTGACAACTCATAAGTCACAAACTTCTTCTGAGGTCTAACCTGAACCTTCCTCCTTGTAGTTTTGGCTCACTAGTTCTGGTCCTGCTCTCTGGGGCAACAGAGGAATAAGCCCATGCCCACTTCTCTCTACCAATCCTTCCAAAATTGAGCTTACCCCACGTCTGTTCCTAGAACCCAACAACATTTCTGCAAGGCTGTTCACCTACCCATCCACCCAATGGATCCAAAGCCACAACTAAAATTGGATTTTTCCTTCTTCTTCTTCTTCTTCTTCTTCTTCTTCTTCTTCTTCTTCTTCTTCTTCTTCTTCTTCTTCTTCTTCTTCTTCTTCTTCTTCTTCTTCTTCTTCTTCTTCTTCTTCTTCTT